TTACTGTAAAGTGATGTAATTATCTGAATTTACCAGACTGATCTAGCTGGTAAAACTTAGTCTGGAATAACTGCAAAATAGTAAAACAAGAATCATCACACCCATGTGATTATATGCATCTAAACTTTAATTCAAGGCTTAGGCGAAATATCAAGGTATTCATCATACCATGACATAACCTAAAAATATTGAGATATTTCAAAAAGGCCATATCTCCCAGCCATATATATATACCACCCTTGTTTTCTCATATTTCTTGGTCAATTTAATGCCTGGTACAAATAAAAGTACATTTGTCTGGACAAATATAATTCTAACAACAAAAATATCTCATAAGAGTTTAATTTAAGAACTGATATCTAGCCATTTTCCATGCTTTTCTTGATGAGTGATTTTGATTATTAAGTTCTTACATCAATATTTATGGCATTGTACTGCCAAAAACACCTTTTAGGCATTCTAGATTTTCTTTTCTGTCTCTTTTAGTCACATGATTCACACCACAGTTGCTACTTGATTGCATAACCATTATTTTTGATGACAAGGGTGGTTTTTTCCATGGCTGTATATAAGGCTGTATATATTAGGGATGGGCATTTTAGGTAATGGGCTGCAAGGTGGCGCAGTTGGTAGCACTGTTGCCTCGCAGCAAGAAGGTTGCCGGTTCGCGTCCCGGTGGGGGCACCGGAATCTTTCTGCGTGGAGTTTGCATGTTCTGTGTGAGTTCTCTCCGGGTTCTCCAGCTTCCTCCCACACAGTCCAAAAACATGTTGAGGTTAATTGGTGATTCTAAATTGTCCGTAGGTGTGAATGTGAGTGTGCTTGGTTGTCTGTCTCTAAGTGTAGCCCTGTGATAGGCTGGTGATCTGTCCAGGGTGTCCCCTGCCTTCACCCTAAGTCAGCTGGGATAGGCTCCAGCCCCCCCGCGACCCTAGTGAGTATAAAGCGGCGTATAGATAAAGGATGGATGGATTTTCAGTAATTTTCAAAGTCGAGTAGTCAGGCAAATCAAAATTCGATTAATCAATTTGTCCTGACGTCATCATGATGTCATCTATAATGAAACAAAAATACTTTGTCCCCAAAGGGAAATTGTAAAATGTGTGTGAGCTCTTATTTACTGTATATATTGGGCATGCTCCATACTAATATTGTTAATATTTAATTAATATTCAATAATATTCAATATGAACATGTATTGTTGCACCCCCTTGTATAAAGTTTATTTTCCAACAAGTACTTCCTGGTGGGTATATTATCTTGGACCCTCCAATTGCTCTGTGCCCATGTAATCTTCATTGCTTTTTGCAACCACTTTGCATCTATGTGTGTGTTTCGCTGTGTTGATTCACTATTTGTATGTTTGTTATACTTAACTAAATCTGTTTCAGCACGTCATCCTCAGGAGGCCATCAAGAGGTACAGAAAAGTCCTTAAGGCACACAAGAAAGGAAAAAAACTGAGTGTGGCATATCGAAGGGTCGGTGTCGACAGAAACACCATTGTCGCCAGTGCTCCGATCTGTGAGCTGGCTGTTGTGGCACCAAAGAAATACAAAGAGTTGCTGGTTGCTCATACACCACAGCAGCGACTGCAGGACTTTGCCAAAAAATGCCAGGAAGTGTTGATTAATGATCCAAACCTTTTGAGGGATGTTGAACATCAAAAGAAAAAGGGGAAACTAATTCCTCTGTCTAAGAAAACTTAGTGTTGTTTCACTGTGGGTGCCCTAGAGCAGTTCAGTTGTAGCTCGGGTCAAGTTCACTAAGTATAGAGGGTCCAGGTTGTGCTAAGACATGTTCATATCAATAATGCCAATGGCTTGATTTTGATTTAGTTTTTTTTCAGGTCCTGCACAAAAAGTGCCCAAACCTCATGGGTTTGTATACTGTTGTATACTGCTGTTCTGCCATGTGATAACTCAGTATGTGTGTTTCTGTACATTAAAGACAATGTTCAACATTCTATCTCTTGTATGTCTTTGGTAAAATATAGTACACAGAAAAGTCTATGGGTGGAAGAGCGTTGAGGTACAAAAATGTGATATTTTAAATATCAGATCAAATTTCTGTACCTTGAAATTGTTCCACCCATTTGCTGTTCTACAAAATTTCATTGGTATTAGTAGATGGTTAACAAACTATTAACAAGTGATCTGTAAAGTGTGAGTTAATGTAGTTGTTAAGTATTAGTTATAAGCTTATGTATGTTATTGAGGCGTTATTCTAAAGTTGCAACTATTCCTCATTTACCAACAGTTAATAAATGAAGAATAGTTGCAACTTTAGAATAACGTCCCAATAACATATATAAACTATTAACTGATACTTAACAAGTCATTAGTAAGTGATTCACTAATGGCTTGTTCATGATCTATGACTGGTGTATAAGGTATGGCTGTAAATCATTAATATACAGTTAACAAGTCATTTATAACTCATTAACTAGCAGTTTATAAATGGTTTGTTAATTGTCCATAAGGCATCGTTATAAATCATCACAAACTATTAAACACTTAACAAGTGGTTAATAACTCACTAATTAACAGTTTACAAGTGATCTATTAAGTAGTTATAACGGATAGTTATTATAAAGTGTTACAGAAGTGGTTTTTGCTCTTGTCCTATGGTCTCATTTTTCACTGCAATCTACAGTCGTGCACCTCTATGGAAACACAACCATCATGTCTAGAAGTCAACTAAAACTCAAAAATATCTTCTGTGCAGTATGACATAGTTAAAATGCCATCAATTGTAAAAACTAAAAAAAACAAGTTCAATTTCTTTAAATTTTGGAATCAACATGGACAATGTTTTATAAGTCTACATTGGGGTTATGGACACTGTAAAAAAAAAAATGGTGACTTGATATTCTAAATATTTTACTACTTATTTTTCCCCCCATACTTGTTTCTTATCTACTCTGTGTAAACACAGCCTGCAGTTCAGCCCAGTTCAGTCGAAGAGTCCCTGAATTTTGGTCACATGACTGTTGGTTGTAGCTGAGCAACTGCTGGTTTACTGTTTGTGCCAAGGAGTGCAGAATTTTTGTTTTTTGCAGAATCTGGTGAGAGCAAACAGTATAATTTTGGTAAATGTTTAGTTCATGTAGAATAAAATGATTTTAAATAAATGTAATTTTAAGCTTAGGTTTGGTTAATTTTCTCAGTTGAGTAGTTCAATGAAGCAAGAAAGTTTAAAGTCTGCCAATTCCTTTGTGTTTTTACAGTTTCAGGCTCCGATAAATTATGTAATTTTAGATCTTTTGGGGGGGAAAGGTTGTTTTTTGTTGTTGTTTTTTTTTTCTAAAGATAACATGTCTTTCAAATCCACCAGCACATTTTGAGGTTCAGAGAGTTGACCATCCAACTTCTAGTAGGACAGTGAACAAGCCAATTCCCAAAACTAAGAATAGAAGAAAGTCTGATTACATTCATGTAATTTGAAACTGACATCCTTTACTCTACTTGTTATAAATCACCGACTGATTCAAAGACTCGTTTGTGGTAATATGGGATTCTTACAGTGCACATTTACAGCATCAGTTAGATGAAGAGCACAAAAACTACAAATCACAGTCCTGCATTACATCTCCAGGAACTTGACATTTGGGTCACAGATCCACTTTGAGAAGGATGTCTAAAATGCTATTTCCCCAGATGGTAAAAGATCTCTTTAAAGCTGGAAAAAAAAAAATACATCAGGCAGCTATAAAGTAACGAGAAACATGATTTATCTTGTAAAATCAAATATGATGTGACTGAAGTGCTCAAGCTCTGGGAGATAGTCAGTCAGGAACATGATACTGCTCAGGTATTTAATTTACTCAGTGAGCCCAAAAAAAGACATTCCCATCCAGCTATTCGATCTGTGCTTTGAAGAGAAACATTTTTGAAATTTTCTGTCACAATTATCGATATCTATAATGTTGCATACTATGGTTTTTAGAATAAATAATTGTCACATTTTATCCATATCACCCCTCTCTAAAAACAGCATTACAGCAAATTTGAATATGTACTTTACAGATAGACTGTGTCTCAGTCTGAAGTTATACAGTATAAAGGTCCTCTGACAGGGTGAATCCAAATTTTGAGACATTAGATCTGTTCTCGTGCCCACATCACTGTATTGTTCGTGTTCCTGGAAGAGAGTTCCCGGAGGGAAAAGATGAGAGTCCTCAGGCTGGATTGTCTTCTACCCAAATCCTCTGAGTTGCAATGTGTGCTTTGGAGAGAGAATTAATTTGTTTTCAGTTTTCATGTTACTTGGCAATTGTGATTACTTTGAGACTAAGCTATATTGGTCCCTGCTTGGAGAAATACCAACAAATGCCTCCATAAGTTTCTGCTACTGTTCCTCTCAAACTCTGCTGTTTTCCCTCTTTCTGAAGCCTCAGACATCAATAACTATTCAGCTGCCTGGAGCATGAAATAACACTCAGCGGTACCTACTTAGATAATTAAGTAAAAGGCAGTAACACACTGAAAGGGGAAGTTATTTTGCTGCTTGCTTACACAAAAAAACAAACCAAAGGCACTAACATGACTAGTGACAGAAAAAACTGCACAGTAGAAACTGCATTATAAACAAAGCGCTTGCCAAGGCAGGACCTAAGGCTGAGGGATCAATTCACACCAAGCAGAACTGTGGTCCATTATGTAACTAATTGGCTAGTAAATTATTTGAAAGCAAACAGCAGGAGTTATTGCCTACCTGCTCATAATAGAAATGAGAGTGAAATCAACAAGCATGAACCAAGATAGTCTGGCTGAAAATGGACGACATGAAGCCGAACGAAGGCGTCACATCGCTGACTTTTCATTACTGACAACAGAGTTCATTTTCTTCGGCAAATATCAAAAAGCCATTTTAGGACCAAGCTCACTATGCAGAGTGATCCATGTCCATGGCTACACCGGCAGTAATTTGACAACAGTAATTTGTGTGTGTGTGTGTGTGTGTGTGTGTGTGTGTGTGTGTGTGTGTGTGTCTTACCAGGGTACAGAAGACGAAGAGCAGAAGCTGACAAAGTCCATCTCTCTGTTAGAGAGCCAACACCACCACCTACTGCACTGTCTGGAGAAAACCACTGTGAGTGCAGGTTTCTCTCTTTTCACTTTAAATGCCCTCTAGTTGTACCTGTATTTATATTTACTTTTTAGTAAAGGACACTGATTAAGCTGAAAGGATGTGCTTACTGTTTAAGGACCCAAGGGACATGCCATTAGATATACCTTATATTTTATGCTACTCAAACCTTGTTTTGTTTTCCAAATGTTACCAACTCAGAAGGCTATTTTTGACACCGACTAACCCTGTAGCTCCCAAATCTCCCAAAATAGATCTAAAAAGAGTCTAGAGGGAGTTTTACTGCTGTCAACGATATTTATCACTGTGAGGTTTTCCCTCTTGTTGAATCTTTGCTTCAAAATCAGTTGGATGCAAGAAATAAATTCCTGGCAAAAACACTTCATAATGTTTACAAGACACTTTTTCTGAGACATTGTGGTGCAATTCAAAGCTGGCCCAGCTATACTGCGACCTGCAGGAGGTTACCGCTCAACTGTGGCCCTAAACTATACCTGATTGCTGTTCCCAATTGAGCAGAAGTTCGGGAGAACCACAGCTAAACTGCAGATAAATGTGGTGTCTGAGCTGTCTATACCACAAAAGATCCTCAACCCAGAACAGTGACCTGATGACTTAGTTCAATGAATTTGCTTTCAGAAATCTGAGAAAATGTGAGGAATAGTGTTATAGGGTCATGCTGAGTTTTTTTCCCCTCATTAACATAACATGTCTGCTTGTGACAGTTAATTATCACCATTAGGTTACAATGTTCTGAACATTTCGATCAACTGTACATCATATTGTTGCACATTTGTCCCTTTCCCTTTGTGTTTCCTTTCAGTCTGTATGAGGTGATGAAGAAGCGACACTTTTACTTCTAATTACAGAGTTATATAAGTTTGACATAGTGCTGTCTTCAGACGAACAAACATGGTAAAACATTTGATCAGTCAAATTATCTGAACTATAGAAATGTGTCTTTATGTTAAACTTAACTAATTAAAACTTTAGTTAAACCAGCTCTGTGGTAGATTTAGGTTCAACTTCAGTTGCAGGATTTTAGGTGATTTCTACACAACTCAGCAGCAGGATTCAGACTAAATCACAAGTGCAGCTTGAGCTGAAGCAGTTGAGGACACAACAATGGGATTTAAGTGACTGTGTGACTTTGATGCAGATGACAGCTAATGGCACTAACAGCCAGCGAGTCGAGGTTAGTCATTAGTCTGCACACAGCGTCAACTATTACTGGTGGAACAGATTTTTGGTGCAAAACAGAAAACATCTGTCATTCAGGCAGCCAGTATACTAAATGGGCCATGTACATTCTTCAGTGGATGATGATTTATGCTGTTAGTTTATTCTTATAGTTGCTTTAAATCTGTTTTGGAGCATTTTTTTTAAATGATTTATCACTCCAGACATCAAATCCTATTACTCTGTTATACATTTATTTGCACTGTTTTCTCCTCTCCATCTCTGTTCTCCCCGTGTCTTTTTTTTTTCCTGTAACTGTCTTCTTCTCCCCAGGCTCACGAGTTTGTTGACGAGCAGATATATGAGCAGAACTGCTTAGAAACAGCGCTGCAGACCTTTCCCTCACGCAGTCCCTCTATGTCCGGCCACGACAGTCCTGCAGGCAGCTGCTGTGGCCGGAGAGGAAAGAAAAACACTCCACTGCCCAACGCCAGCCTGCCGACTGCCCATCCCATCCCGACACACCAGGGCCCACTGCAGGAGCTCAGTGCCATCCACATACAGTGCAGTGACCCGCTGTCACACACTGCCAGGTGAAAATCAACAGCACACAGACACGACAGCAGTGTCAGGGGGTTGGTATCAGAGTGCTAGCTGAAAAGTGCCAAATTTGTTTTCTTACACTCCACAGTAGCAGGTGTTGGTCTATCCCAGTTACAAACAGACATTCTGTCAAATGCCACAAGTGGTTTCTGGACATGAAATCTGTTTGGTTGCATGTCTTGAAGTTTTGATCTCTGGGTAACACTTTACTTCAAACTGCAGTGTAAGAACTTCTGTCTCCCTCATCTGGCAGTGAGAGTAATTACACAAACACTGTCGACTTGCTCTTCTGACGCCTGCCTCAACGTCGATCGCTTTCTTTTTTTAGACTGTAATCCTTCCTCTGAACTCTGAGTTTCTTTTTAATCTGGAGCACCGGAAACTTTTCTTGGACCCTTCCTAGCTGCTGTAGCCTACTTTCTCTCCATCACTCAGCAACATAAAAGGCATGACTGTCAGGACACCAGACTTTGAATGCACATGCATACGTCAGAATCCCCCACTTTAGCTTCAAACCCCCCAGTTAGGATTTATAAGCAGTATAGACATTTAATGAGTGGTAATTGACTTGTAGGCAGATATCAATGTTTAATAAGCCCAGTGTATAAACATATATTGGATGATAATGTAGTAAAAAAAAAAAAAAAAAAATGTTGTAATTATATCCAATATATCTAAGATAAAATAAATGTTATTGATCCCTCAGCGGGGAAACTTACATGTTACAGCAGCAAGATACAAATGAGGCATGAAAGAAGCAATTTAAGAATTAGAAAAACTACATTAAGGCTAAAAATAAAGATATAGTAAAGGTCTCATAAAAACAGTGTACCAGACATATGAATATACATATGGATATGTTCATGTATGGCATCTGCATTGGACAAATTACAATTGTTAACCAGTGCTGAAGAATAATAAACAAACAACAGTTTTAAAATGTCCTTTAAGTTTTCTAAAGTTATATTATGTGTGTATAATTATATATTTCCTAATTATATACTGTGTATAGATGCTAAACTGGGATGCGAAGAATAGTGTTACTAAAACATTGCAGTAAAGAAAATCAGCAATAAGGACAGATTTTACCGTTTTTGTTTGTTCAGTTGGAAGTAAAAGGAGAAGTTGTTTTGATGTGTTTTGTGCTGCAAGAACCACAAACAAATTTAATATAAATCGTATTTGGGAGGCAGCAGAATTGTCAGTGATCAATATATTTGAAATATGAGATAAAATCCCAACTATCTGCATCCCCACATAGATAACATTAAGGATGAGTAGAAAGATGTCTGCCTACGTTTGGCCAAAGTTGCCCCAAAAATAGAAAGCAAATCTGCAGTGAAGGCTGGCAAAATATCTAATATTCAAAAAGACACTAGAGGGCACTGTAGGATCACTTCAAAATAACTTGTTAACAGATTGGACAGATTATGTAACAATAACAGACAAAGAGAACTGTTTTAATATCCTTTGGGTATCAGTGAATCTCTTTTAGCAGCAATAGAGGGAAAACATGGAATATTTTTCATATTTTAGAGATTTAATATTACTGTGTCTGCGAATAATTTGGGGCAAAATATGTCTTCACTTTGTCATTAGACAGTATTATCACAGCCACAGTTCAGAGTCTCTTACACCAGACAGATACATAGACATGTACATTCCTTATACAGAAAAGCAACAGATACATGCAATATAGTCGTGATCACATATGTCACATGAGCATTAATGCAAGTACGCATCTGTTAGTGCATGTATATATACATGCAGTGTTCTGGTATTTCACTTAAGAAGAGACAAACTCCTCCATTTTTAAGTCCTAAAACTAAAACCAGACAAAAGTAATGTGAATAATACAGTAGGTGATGTTAGGAAACATTTTAAGTGGGTTACTATACATGTGGTGGGTCCATTGTTGTGTTGGAGAGATATCACAGGGAGGCTGATCATTTTAGAAGCAGGTTGTGCAATAGCAGCAGATTTGTTTTTATTGGAATCTGACACGCTGGAGGATATGCATTCTGTACTAGAGCTGTGATCGTTGAATATTTTTCATTGCTGAATAATCGGATGGTTTCACAGTTAATTGATGGTCTATAGAGACAACACATGCCAGTATGTTGAATGTGGAAGAGCTCATTTGCAAAAACAGATAACTGCATTTTTGTAGATTTTCAGAAAACTTTTTTTTTGTTTGTTTGTTTGCCTGAAATAATATCAATCAAACTGAAGTCGAGGGCTGCAAGGTGGCTCGGTGGTTAGCACCGTTGCCTCGTAGCAAGAAGGTCACCGGTTCGGACACCGGGATCTTTCTGCGTGGAGTTTGCATGTTCTCCCCGAGCAGCGTGGGTTCTCTCCGGGTTCTCCGGGAGGAAGCCGGAGAACCCGGAGAGAACCCACGCTGCACGGGGAGAACATGCAAACTCCACGCAGAAAGATTCCGGTGCCCCCACCGGGATGCGAACCGGCAACCTTCTTGCTGCGAGGCAACAGTGGCTATAACTTATGGATCACAAAACAAAGTACAAGTCTAATGTCTCTCTTCTGAAAGAATGATATATTTGATCTATATGCTTGTCATAATTTCCCCAGAGTACAAGGGTGGCATCCTCAAATTTCATATTTAAATATTACAAAAAATATATTCAGTTTACAAAACAGAGATAAGCAGCAATTCCTCAGAACAGAGACACTGCAGTTATAGAACATTTGGCAGGTTTGCTGAGAGGATATATCAGCTCTGACAATACTAGCCAGTTCATTTTCTGTTGAGTACCTAATATTAGTTGGTTGATTAATTAATTATTAGTCTGTAACAGTAGATATTGTTTGTACACAATCATCAAGTGTTTCTTTCTTCTTCTTTTATAATAGTCGCTCAAACCTCAACCTGAAAACCGGCGACAGCAGTAAGATAAACTGCAAAGGCGGCCGCATTACCACAGCAATCATCAGCCTCCCGACGCCCCCCGCTTTAACTCCTGATGGTGACGGCCTCCACGGTCCCCCACAGCGCCGGCCGCCCCCGCCTCCAGGTCACCCTCCACCCCCGAGCATCCAGACCACAATGAGCTCAGCTGGCACCAACATTGTCAAAGTCTCAGCTCTGTAACTCTCTGGCTGATAGATGTAACTCAGCAGGAGAAAGGAAAAGAAGAGGAGGAGGAGAAGGAGGAGGAGGAGGAGGAAGCAGGTAACACTCAACTGATGGACACACCGTGTCCCGTCTCACAGGGTCAACAAGGAGAGAGCAGAACTCCAAAGGAGTCACTAGGTACAGAGACAGGGTAGAGGACTGTAGATATGTGAACTGAGAATCACGCACTTGTCATGTTGTGTATGTACTGTAGATACGGAGTGAATTGCTGCATTTCTAATAGTTTCTAACAACAGTACAGATGTTTTACAGCAACAGTGCTGTGGAAAAGATTGAAAAGCATTGTGCAATTAGCATAAACATCAGCACACACCGTTGACATACCACGAATTCACAGTGAAACTGTGAAAATTATATTTGTAGACTTTAAATATTGAAGAAAGATACAGATGTGGACTGTGTTTGCTGGAATTTGATTGGTCTTGTTTGTGTTATTTGTTGTTTGTCTTAAGAATTTTAAGGAACGAAAAAAAAAAGGAATTAAAAAAGTTTTAGTTTTCTTTGCAGCATCATTTGAAAAAGTCACTGTTCCCGATGCTGCTAATATCATCGCTGAAATGTGCATTTCATTTGTCAAATACTGTAAAAAGTGTTTGTTTTTTGTAGGTAAATTGTACCAATTCATTATGTTCAAGGCTCAAACCAAACTGTAATGTTTAGTTGCTTCTTAAAGGAAAATGACTGCATGGATGGAGGCTGATTGTCTTTATACTGACAGGAAACACACAGTGATTCTCAATTTGATAGTTAAAAACACTGAGCTGACCACAATATTGCTTTGAACTGAAGGTTTGATATTTTGATCAAAGGATGAAGCTGGAGTTGTTTTGTATGCAACTTGTTATTCATATGAAAAGACCAAAACTGACCACTTTTTCTTTATGACCTGTTCGTGTTCATTTTTAGCTGTTTTTAGCTAATTTTACTCAAATGCAACAAAAAAAAAATGTTTTAGTTGGAACTATTTTGCAGCATAAGTGAAATACCTGTGAGGTTGTATGTAGAACTCACTCCACATAATTGACAGTGCCAATGTACTAGTAATTAAACGTATCACCCAGTGAAATGATGTGGTTAATTATTATGGTTAGAAAAATAATTAGGTCAGTGGCATAGAGGAATAATTTTAATAACATTTTGGGTGAGCAATACTACAAAATTTTGTTTCAATTCAACATCAAGTAGTACCAGGAACACTATCACCAATATTATTACTAGTAGATGTTCATAGTATATAGTACACATGAATTATTTTTCGATAGGGATAAATTCATGATTACATTTGGAGAATAAAACCAGCCAAAAAAAATCATCAGCCTATGCTAACATTGTAAACTATGCTGAATTGCAGTAATGAGTTGTTATAAACTCGACTACCGTTACATTATCCTCACCTAATGTCTGTTCCTGAGTGAAGGAGAAGCAGAGGAGGGACTGAGCTGAAATGAAACAAATGCACATAAATTATGTAAATAACATGAATCGAATACTTAGTTGTTGTTTTTTATTTATTTGCTTGCTTGCTGGTTTGTTTTTTTTGTTTGGTGAAAGTACCAGACTGGGCATTTGCTTCTACAGTGCTCTCTCTGTCTCAGACCAACGGTTTCAAACTTGCACTTACAGACACACACAACAAGACCAACCACCAAAACACAACCTCAGATTATAAATCACACAGATGGATTCTCTGCTATTTACTTGCCTGTATCTTTACATAGCAAATAGTTGTTTGCTGCTACATTAACCCTCTGAACCCCAAAACCTGCCCGCTGGTTTGAAAGTCATGTTGATTTGTTGAAAATTACTTTATTTTACATGTTTAAAAAAAAAAAAAAGCCAAAAGCCAAAAGCCAAAATCAAGCCTTACCTCTAACCAGATTGAGTTCTTAAAAATAAAAACTAATTAAAAACTGAACTGGGCTGAACTGCAGGCCGTGTTTACAAAGACAAGATAGGAGTCAAGTATAGAAACTAATTTAAAATAAAAGCAGTAAAATAAAATATGTGGAGCCACCAAGTAACACCAAGGACCACTTATATAGGTTTGCTTCACTTTTCAAATATTCATAAAATAAATCATTATAGAAAGGCAACTTTCTTTTTTTTTTTTTTTTTCCTTTTATGATTTATGATTTTATACCCTGGTCATACTGCACGAAGGCATTTTTGAGTTTTCTCTATTGTCTCTACATGTGGCCATGGTTGTGCTGTTTCCATGGAGGTGCAGGACTTTAATGTTCAAAATTCCAAAATTTGCACTTTTAAGTGAATAAAATACAAAATACAATATTTGTTTGTATAAATTGTATAGGTGCTTTATCCCCTGTGGAATAATAAAAAAGCTACAACTGTTGTGCTCATGTTGAAGGATATTCAAAAAGAATAGCATAAAGTGAGTATTTATCATGAATATTTTAGATATTGAATGCGAAGAAGGTTGAGCACCACTGTGAACAAAAGGCTGGTAGGAGCATTACAGGAATCGAGTAAATTGTGTTCAGTTTTGTTTTTTTCACATTACAATTTAAAACATAGTAATTTGTAGAACTTCTAAATGGAATGAAAATGGTAAAATATGCAAATGTAAAAAGACTGTTTTGGGTCAGCTCATCAATAGATCATCTTCTCACATTGTTTTTCAAACAAAAAGGAGGAACAAACCAAATGATGCAGTTCTGTCTGTAAGACATCTGTAAACCTCTGTGTCATTGCTCATTTGTTATGATTTATTTTTTAGTTATAGAGCCAATTTCCTGTCATCCAGATATATTACCTTCACTTGTGCCATTTTGTGTCTCAAGTTACATTTTGCCACTAAAAAGATGTGATTTCTCCAACAATTTAAAATAATTATGAACTTTCCATAAAAAACAGACTTAACACACATTTAAATTTATATAGAACTTTAAAACGTATACGGAAGAATAAACAAATTTTAGCTTACAGCTATTGCAATTTTTCTTTGCATCAAATTTGTCAACAAAAAGTTCTAAACATGCTTTAAAATAATCATATGAACTGAAAATGCAAGAAAAAGTCAGTAAGTAAACCAAATGTTAGGATTGTTTGTGAAAGAATTATTCTAAAAATCATTACTGAACTGATATGCTAATATTTCAGAGGCCAGAAAATAAAACCTCACAAATGCTCACAGGATGGCAGCAAAGATGCATTCAGACACTGAAACAACAACAGAAATAAAGTGAGTCCTGCCTGAATATATTATTTCTGCACCTACCTGCTACACAGCATTGCTCATTTGAATTTGGTAGATGCCTGTTGTTTGGGATAGTTTGTGACTACTTGCCATGTGTGCTGTAGTTCCCTGTATCAATTAAACACAGTGTTTATTTGTCTTTTGGTTTCTTTGTTTTTGCTAAAGTGGAAGCTGATTACTTCATGTGTTTTTTCCAATCACAAAGTACCACGTGAAATTGTTTTTTTTTTGTTAGTTTTCTTGTTTTGTTTTCTGTATTGATGTATTTTGTGTTGGGTTCCGCATTTTGTCAAAAACATTGTACCAAAATGATCGCTTTCCATCCTCTGTAAGAACGAAGCAGTCATACTCTTTATGCTGCTTTACAAAAAATTACAAACCCTTTAGATATTTTTTTTTCTTCATACCATTATCGTTGAAAATATCAAGCGTCGCCTCAGTTGTGGTGTTCATAACCTGGATCTTGGTTAACACTAAAACAGTATCTATACATTAGGGCTTTTCAACCATATCTTTTTTTATTTTAGAGAAAGCACCTCTCCCACACCAGAGTGACTAATGTACAATGATACTTGTCATTATATGATGGACTTGACTTCAAAGGCATTGTTGGGATCACTTTTTTTAAAAGTCTTGGCATTGCTGTTTGTGTTGTTTCTTATCTTTTTATCCTTTCGAACTGAGCTTTTCTGTCTGTTTGCTGTGTACACAGTATTCTGTCAGTTTGTTTATTATAACAATTATGAAGTGTCAGATGAGAATTAAATTCTGCCACAACAATCGAGCTTCGTCTTTCTTCTCCCTCTGGTCACCGAATATTCACATAGAACGTGGCACATTTACACTGATGTGTGAAATGTGGCTTATGATGAATGTGTTCCATCACATATAAATACACAAATCATCAGTAATGTTTTGGATTTAAAATGCACACAGATTAAAAGTTGAGTGTATTTTTTGATGCCTTTTATGATCAGTTCTTAAATGACGAAAACACAAAGAGCACACTGATTATGTTTAAATTAGCGCTGAACTATAGTCATTTTAGCAACAACAATGTTGTGTACACAATAGTCACATGGCAGGATGTGCATTATAAAATAAGGTAAATTAGGTCCAATACATCATGCTACGATAGTTTTACTGCTTAATGCAAAAGCAAAACGTGTACAGTTCTTATTTTTTCAGCAAAATCCAGAAGAGAAGTCTGTCTGATAGAACATATTTATGATTTACAAGCTCTTAGGTACAGTGATGGGGTTTTTCTTTGTTTTCTTGTTTTTTTGTTTTTTATTTACTTTGTTTACAAGACAGAGTTTTGATATGCAGGCTCTACATGCGCATAGTAAAAGGAATGTGGAACAGGAGAGAAACTCTAAAAATTAAGATTTAGTGGCAAAAAGAAACACAATGTCAGTTGTTTCATCATTTAAATCAGCACCACAAAGCACTGCAGCAAAGCCAGATTCGAGTGCCATCCGAAGCAAAAAGAAACTATTTTGGATGCCTTTGCCAGTACACACAGCGTGAAAAAGGTTACAGACTGCTTTTTTTGAATCATTTTTTGTTTTCTGAGACAGACACAATTCTCTGAAAAGCCACCTCAGTCATTTAAGAGTGATTAACTCTTTCCAAATAGTTATTGAATTCCTTTATTTTTTCATACCACAATATACTGTATATGGCAGAAAAACAATATATCACCATGCTATTTAGTTTACAAATCATGCAGCCCTAG